AGAAATATCTGTGTTAAAACAAATTAAAGAAACTTAATGTTTAATTTTAAATAAATTATAAATTATATTATAGCGTATAGTTTATGGCAAAGTGTCTCATTAGTGAGTGTATGATTTTACAAACATAACTTATATTATTTAAGAGTATACCTAAATAGCCACCCTAGAAACGGCCGCGATTGTTTTTCCTTGGTAATTTGTAACACATTATCTGCTATGGCATATACTAAAGGGCCCGGGCCCGGAAGTAATGGGCCCACTCAATTAATCACATATATTTAGCCTGTAATGTAACATTAAATGAGCACATATAACAGGCTCGTGATGTCCGAACCCAAGTAATTGACTACATATAGCATTTTTTGAGGTGGGCCCGTGACGTCCGGGCCCTTTAGCATATGCCATCTGCTATAAATATATCAATATACTATATATAAAAAGCATAAATTACAGTATATCACAAAAATCACCTAAATGAATCTTTGCGGATTAGCACATTTTTTCTCTGATAACATTGTGGCGATTAATTGAAATTAGTGTACATCAGCTAGAACCTTTAGAGTATAATTGAATTGATAACCCGTGGCATACGTATATAAGTACTACAGTAGTTATATCATTTCAAAACCCATCACAAACTTTAACATTAAACAAACAATACTGTATATTTTTATCATATATTTTTTTGTTATGTACTCTATATATAAAATATGCATTACAGTTATATAAAGAGCATTAATAGATAATGTATTTTTAAATCTAGATCAGTGTTAAATAATGACATTTTATATAACAATGATTAATTATTATTATTTAAGTTTTATTACTTAATTTATTTGTCATCTATTTTTTTGTTAAATAAATTTTTTGTATTTACTTTTATTATTATATATTTAAAATATTTATTTAAAATAACCATGGTACAATCTCCCAAACCTAAGCGATTACCGTCCATAAAGTTATATATGGCTTGTTTGGCCTCACAGATGGCTTCAGTGCTATTGGGGTGTGCTATAGGTGTGATAATATAATTATGTAATGATTTGTTAATTGCTAGTTAAATTAGTTAATATTTTATTTATTTTAATTATATGTAAGGCTGGAGCGGATCAGCGCTGGCAGACATGGGCCGCAGTGACAGTCGACCCTATCTGACCAATAGTGCAGAGCATATGGATATTAAGTCATGGATTGGTTCGAGTATGACATTGGGTGCCCTTTTTGGGGGTATTATTGGAGGTATTGTTTTATATATTTTCTAATTAATTATTTTAAATAAATCAGTGTTTATTAATTGAATAGTATTTGAAACAATAGTTAATAATTCTTAACTAGTCGTTATTTAATTATCACAAACACTTGAACCTAATACAAAAATGCTTTTATTATCGCATACTTTGTACTATTTGTTTATTGATTGACTGATTGAGAGAGAGAGAGAGAGAGAGAGAGAGAGA